ACAGCCTGGTAGGCACATCTGTGATACTCAGACCAATCCGTCTAGAGAGGGTGGGTGCATTTTAAATTATGATTCCCGCCAGTTTTCCTTTCTTAGAAATTCTAGAGTAGCATAACCTTTTGATAGAAATATAAGGGTCACACAAATCCTTAATTTTTTTCAGTAGCCACATTTTCAGAAATGCAAAAAAAAGGTGAAATTATTTTTAGTAAGGCTGTCTTCCACCCAACAGGTTCTAACTAGTATTATCTCCATGAGTAATTGATATAAAAGTGATTGAGTTATTGACATTGTGTCTTTGTACTCCCTGGAAATCTGGTGAGTCTTTTACACTGGGTGTGCCTCGAGTCTGGATGCCCGGGTTCCATCTGTGATCCTTGATCTGTATTTAGACTTCATAGGTGGACAGTCGAAGAGGCAGATTTGCACATCTGGGACGTTCCATATATACATCGAAGGTTTCCAATCATTGAATTGACAGAGGTTGCTTTTGGTTTTGTTTGATCTTTCTTTTTATTTGAAGGCTTTATTTTTAAGTCATCTCTGCACCGAACGTGGGCCTCAAACTCACGACCCCAACATCAAGAGACACCCGCTCGACCGCCTGAGCCACCAGGCGCCCTATTTTCTATTCTGAAGTTGGTTTTGATTCACAGAAGAGAGTATTCGTTTTTAAATTTAAATTAGCATTAAAAATCCTGTTTCTCAGACCCAATAGCCACACTGCAATGGCTCCGTGGCCTCATGGGGCCAGTGGCCACTGAATTGCGATGGTGTAGGGACACAGTCTTTCCCTGACTGCAGAAAGGACAGTGTCTGCTCTACGTGGAGCTCCACCTGCAAAGCGGGAGAAGAGTTTGGGGTTAGGTCAAGAACAGAGACTTTATGTTCTGGACCATAATGGCTCGACGGGGGAGTACTTGAGCAAGAGACATGCATGTATACCTGAACCTCAGTACTCTCATCTCTAAAGTGGGTGATCAGGGTGGCAGGGAGTAGTGTGGGCAGAGACAAGGTTCTAGATTTCTGTTCCAGGATTTGGAGCCTGGGGTCTGGGAGGACTATGCGACTGTCTGCGGGGAAAGGTAGGATCCGGGAATGGAGGGACATGGGCCAGACCACGAGACACCGAGGACCACCCAGCACAGGACCAGAGGTGCTGGTCTTCGAACACTTTGGGATGGACACTGAGTAAATACGTCCAGCTCATATTGGCATCTCCAGGCGCGTCCTGTGCTCTCCCCACAAACCGGCCAGGCTCTCCTTCCCCTCCACACCTCTGCACTGGCTATTACTTTGACGGGAACGCCCTGTTTCCCAAGCTGTATGGTATCTGGTGAGCTCTGGCATAGCCTTCCAGACCCAAGCCCGTTGTACCCCTCCCAGATGGAGCCCGGGGTTCAAGCCTCAACTCCAGGGCCTTGGGGAAGTCTGGGAAAGCCTGAGAGGGGAGGGGCGGGGTCAAGGCAGAACCCGAGAGCCCTTGGGACCTACTCCAGCTCCCTGGGGGCCCCCTCCCCAGATACAGAGGCTGCGCTGCCTAGTGGCTGGTGAGCCTGGCTCTGGGGCTGGGATTCCCGCTCGGTCCTGTCTCCCGCTGAGTCATGTGGCCTCCGTGAGCTTCTCTGTCCACTGCCACAAACAACAGCGCCGACCCCAGGACTCATGAGTATCACTTTGGAAACCCACATGTGGCCGCAGGCATGGGCTGTCACATTTCTCATCAGTGATGCTGTCTCCACTCTCCGCCCCTGTCTCCCCACTCCCTCCACATGTTTTCCCTAGCTTTCTAGAAACCCCTGCATCCTTCCTGCATCACAGAGAAGCCATTCAGGAATGTCCTGGAGGCCCATGGGGTTGGGTCCCAGCAGAAGGGACCACAAGCAGTTCCTGTCTCCTGACACTTTCATCATCCCAGAGCCCCAAGGAACTGGCTCAGTTTCCGCTGGCGCTGGACAAGGACCATACGCACCTCCTCAGCTACCTCCACTGGCTGGAGACCCTGTGGCCTGCATCCTGCAGCTGGGCCCCCGGTGTTCTGCAAAGCCTGCTGGTGGCAGCAACGGGAGGCCCCCGACCAGACAGCGCTCAGCAGAGCCTCCTGGCTCACGTGGGCTGGCCTGGGCCGTGGACTGCTCCAGACACACCTGCTGGGACCTCGCTGCTGGGCGCGTGACTGCTGGGGACCTCCCTGAGCGGGGACATCACCCACCGGGCACCTCAGCTCCAGAAGAGCAGCTCCAAGGGACCTTGCCTCCAGGGGCCTCACCTCCAGGGGGGTCTTACCTACCGGGGATGTCAGCTGTTGGGGACCTCGCCTGCTGGAGATCTGAAACCAGTCACCTAGCCTCCCTGGGACTCATTGGAAGGAGCCCCTCTGAACGGGGGCCTCACCTGCTGCACCCCTCACCCGCTAAGACTCCCCAGGGAGAACTGTCCTTGGGGTCCCGCTCACTGGTGACGGGTTATCGTTGCTGTCGCCAGCCACCCGTGGGGTACGCAGTTGGGCAACACTGGCTCCGTTCTCCACGTGGGAATGCTCCCGGGAAAACCGCTGTCTCCTCCCTCATTTGAGAGTAGCAGCTCACACCCCAGGCGCCTCCGCCAGGCAAAGGCCCAGGAGGCTTGTGCTTGGCACAGCAGGAGGTGGGCTGAAAGCATCCGGTGGGACTGGGCCAGGGACGCTGTTCACAGCCCACAGGCCCAGGAAGGCCCCCAAAGCCAAGAACGGCCTGGGTACCAATGTCAAGAGGTGGTAAAACCCTGGAGGTCAAGCCCCACAGTGGGTGGGAGTGGGGACCAGACTGTCTGGGGACCCATGGGGGGGCAGGGGTGGGACAAGAGTGGAGGAAGGGCAGGGACTGGCCCCTGAAGGATGGGGAGGGGAAAGATTGCGGTGCTGAGCACGTGTAGACCAGAAAGTGTGTGTGACCAGGGCTGACCATGGCGGGGTGAGGGGGTTGTGCTTGGAGTAAGGCCACTGGGGAGAGATCCCACTGGGTGTGGCCGGATACCAGACCCCCCGCCCCGGTCTTGCACATGAGAGGGGACACTGAGGGTGTCCCTCCTCCTGTGCAATTTCGACTGTGGAAGCATCTGGGCCATGTGTCCACGTGTGATCAGATCTCCTAAGCCCCATGTAGGTACCACTCTCTGCGCTGGGTGTGCGTGTGTGTGTATGTGTGTGTGTGTGCGTGTGTGTGTGTGGACTGCGGACAACCCCAGCCCCGGGCATCTGTGGGGGGCAGCTGAGTCTCTCTCCAATGCTCTGGGGGGCTGGGCCAGAGCCCCATGGTTGGGATGTTGGAACTCAGCAGGAGACAAGGAAGTCCCAGGGGGCCATGAGAGGGTGCACACACACACCTCAACACACACACACACACACACACACACGCACACGGAGGCAGACAGGCTTCAGGGGCCACAGACCTGGGCTCCAAGGTCAAATTTCCCACTGTGTACACTGGGCTGAGGGAACTTCCGCCTCTGTGGCTCAGGGCCATCTGGGATGGGGAAACTGAGGCTTGGGTTCTGACCCAAGCAGTGGGGACCCCAGCCTCTCTGCCACAGCTGAGCCGACTCAGCCCAAAAGGAGGAGGGGTCCACCCCCCCCAACCTCAGAAGACGGGGGATGGAGGTGAAGGGAGGGTGGGGGTGTGCGGTGGGGGCCTGGGGTGGGTGGAGACCCCAGACAGTCTCCGCCCTGAAACGTCCTACCAAGCCCTGCTCTCAGGACTGCCTGGAAGTCCTGCCTGGTAGCTGCCTCGAGTGTCTCCAGCTGCAGCCGGGGACCAAGTAGCAGGGAACAGGGGATGTTCCCGTTCGGCTGGGTGATCCTTCCCGAGGCAGCTTCTGACGGGGCCCTCCAGCTTCAGGAGGGGGCCTGGGCTGGGTCATGGTGTTTAGATGGCGGCCCTAATATCAGATGTGTGGGAAAGCGGGGAGAGGGCAGTCTAGGAGAACAGTGAAGGAGGGAAAGGGCGCTTTTCCTGGGAGCTTCCCTGGAGTTGGGGTGAGGGAAGAAGAGAGGGGACCATGTGCTCAGGAAGCTGTCTGGGGTGGGAGGGGCTTGTGCCCTCCAGAACCCCACTCCAGGTGCAGGACGGGAGGGCCCATACCCACTGGTCTCCAGGGTGTGGGGTTCCCCAGAGGGTCCTACCTCCGACGCTGGGATGTGCAGACCCCTCCTCAACGTCTGGGAACCCAATCCTCCACGCTGTCCCGGGCCTGCCAAGCACCAAGGTGACACCGCTTTTTCTGTCCTCTGCGAGGACACATCGTAAATCCCCTCAGGAGCTCGGGCCAGGGCTTTAATAGGCCCAGGACCTAGGTCCTTGGGGACAGGGCTCTGGCCTAGCAGGCGCCGCTTTTGGGCTGGACGGGGCTGGCGCCTGCCCCAGACCTATCCCCACAGGGAGATGGGCAGCGCACATATATTTTTAGCTGGTGAAAGGAGATAGTGGCTCCGTGCGGGTAGACTGGGCCTAAGGAGGCCCTCTGGGGAAGGGAGGCCTGGGTCCACCAAGACCTCAGGCTCCTCATCTGCCATTCGGCTCCCTCCTCCCATTCAGAAGCTCACCTTTGGGGGCGGTGGAAGCGGGACACGTCGGAAGGGACACTGGGACCTAAAGGCAAGTGGGATGGACGGCTCCCGTCGACGTTGTTCCCACTCACACCACTTTCCTTGGTGTTACCGCACGGAAAGAACCCTCTGTTCGCCGAGCAGGTGGTACCTGGCCCGTCCCCCTTTGCCCAGTGGAGCTGGCGCTGCGCCCCACCCCACTCGGGCTCGTGTCCCTCCGACAGGTGGGCTCCCCCGGAACGCGGAATCACACCCGAGCTCCGTTTTCCACACTTTATCTCGGTGCAGTAACTGGACAGTCCGGAGGCCTGGACGGCACCTGCTGCGCACGCGCAGTCCGTCGCCGCGGGCCCGGCCAGGCGGGGCAGGTGGGGGCGCCGCCGCGCGGGGGTAGAGGGGGTGGCCGGCGACCCCCGGTCCCGGTCCCGGTGAGGTAGGCTCAGACGCAGGCACACTCGCGCGCCGACAGCTCGTGGACCGTGTGGTAGCGGCTGTGCGCGTCCAGGAAGGACACCTCGTCCTCGTAGGCCGTCGGGCGGCAGCAGGGCTGCGCGCGCACCCGCTCCCGCCGGACGCGCCTCCGCTGGCGGAGCCGCCGCAGCCCCAGGTCGTACACGCGCGCGGCCGCCTCGCAGGCGCCTGCGCAGTAGCGGAACAGCACCGTCTCGTCCGACGCGTAGCCCAAGCCCAGCTCGCTCACGCGCACTTCGAGCTCGCGCAGCCCGCACGGCCGCGCCCCCGATCGCGCGCGCGCGCGCCTCCGCCGGGCCCCCGCCCGACGGTGCGGACGCGGGGATCTGCCGGCCCAGGGCGTCAGCTGGCGCAGCTCCACCGCGTCCGGGGCGCCCTGCAGCAGCGCACGATCTGCGAGGAGAGACACAGAGCGGGGTGGGTCGGTGGGTGGCTGGGGGAGAGCTCCGACCGTCGCCCTTCCCCTCGGGAAACATGCCCTTGCCGGCACCCGGGGGCCTTCGCGCACCCCCCCAAGGCCAGGTGTCAGCCCACGGCCGCTTCCCAAGCATGGCACCTAAACGGTCCCTGTCTGGAGGCCGTGCGGTATGCCTGTGCAGAAGCCCAGGCAGGGCCCCATGGCTCCCAATGGCCTTCTCTGGACCCAGCCCCTGTGTTGGGCACCGGCCCTTCCGCTGGGTTGTTAATGAGTCCCTAGCTCACTCTGTGGGGGCCCCACCAACACCCGCACCCACCCCCCACTCCGGCTCCATCGCGTGCTGGCACTCAGTTTCTCCATGCACAGCACCACATCGGGCTGGGTGGGCTGTTCAGAACGTGCAGACACCGAGGCCTGCGTGTGAGGACCGCGTGGGGAGGCAGCAAGGGGATATCCCGGCCTCCCCCATGTTACAGGTGAGACAACTGGCCATCCAGTAGGGCAGAGACTGGCCCAAGGCCACAGCACTAGCAGGTGACAGAGAGAGAGACACGAGCCCAGGCTTCTTCCGGACTCCCTCGTGTGGCCAAGTTTGGCCCACGTCCAGTTCTCCGCGCTCCCACGGTGCCGGGAGGTGCCCGGAGTCACAGATTCCCAGGGCCCTGGAGCCTAAATTTATTTCCCAGGCGGCTGGGCTGCCCCAGTCCTCTGGAGAGCCTCGCAGGCATGCCAATGGCAGGTGGCACTGAGAGTGGAACCGTAGGCAGGGACTCCCAGCCTCTGAGCAGGTGGCAGGCATGCTTGTGGTTAGGAGAGGAGACCGTGAGTTTATCCCCTGCCTGCCTCATCCTGGCTCTCCTAGGAAATGGCTCAGGGACACCCTAGGGAGAGGCTGTGTCTGTTTCCGCAGGGGGTCTCAGGAAGCAGACAGACCCTAATTGTGAGCCTTGCTCTGCCAGTTCCAGCCCTGTAAAAGTTCCGACAGGTGATGGCCCTGCTCTGTGCTTCAGTTGCCATGTCTGCTCAAGGAGCTCGGAGAGTTCCGATCTGGCTGAGGCTGGGGCAGTGGAAAGTTGGGATCAACTGAGCATGTTTCCAGTCCTTGGGGAGGACTGGGGTGGCCGGTGGCGTCTGCTCTGGGGTTAGATTGGAGCCTACCTAACCTAGGGTGCCTAAATTTCCACCATGTACCGTGCCCGCCACTCAGGTAGACATCCACACAGTTATTGAGGGGGCGGGGCGGGCGGGGCGGAGGACGTTGCCAGATAAACGCAGATGCCCAGTTAAATTTGCATTTCAGATAAACAGTGAAAGCTGTCTTGGTCTATGTGACCCTGCCTCCCTCCAGCAGGCCTGGCCACCTGCACAGGGTCTAAACACACAGAGATGAGAGGAGCAATAGCTCCCCCCAACCCGAGCCCCACCCGAGCCCCACCCCGCGCTCCCACCGCCCCAAGCCTGCAATTCCACCACCCGCGCATTGGGCTCAGGGGGACTCTGGGGGGTCAGCGTCCACTCTCTTCCCTTAGTAGGACTGCGCCCAGGAACAGGCTGCCGGGTGGGCAAACCCCGCCCAGGGGCCGAGAGCCTTCCCGGTGGGTGCCCGAGATCCCACCGTCAGTGTTGCGGCACCAGGCTCTAGGCGCTAGGTTTTGGGGGCCCCACCCGCGTCTCTGGAACTCAGGGTCTTGGGAAGGACTTTGCTGCCCGCGGGAATAAGCGGAGGGCGGAAGTGGAGCCCGTGCCTGAGGCCGCCCTTGTCCATTGTAAGGACAAGAAAGGAGGATTGTGTGGGCCGGCAGGGCGGGCGCGGACTTGCCCACGAACCGCACGCGGTGCAACCCGGCGGGCACCATGCACGCGCCGCGACCGCGCCCACACCTCGGCCCCGGCGTGGCGGCCGCGTGGACACGTGCGCACTCACAGGAGGTCGGACCCAGGCCCTACCACCCACCTCTCCGTCAGGTGGGCGGGGCAGTGGGCGGGCCCGAAGGAGGAGTGGGAATCGGGGGCGTGAAGGCCACGCCCCTCGTCGGGCGGGGGTTCTATATCGCCACCCCAAGGCATTTTGCCCTGCCCATCTCTCCCAACCTGTGTCTCTCTGTCTCTG